CAAGCTTTCCCCTCCAAGATATTTTGTTAGGTTCAAGACATCTAAAAGGAGGCCATGGCTCCACCTTTCTCCTGCACTGAGTAGCAGAACTAATGGGTGCATAAGAAAATACAATCTATACCTGGACACATTTACCTGTGCAACCAGGAGCTCTAGAAGGCATCCTGTGCTCTTCTCCTTGACTGATGAAGCCAGTGACTATGATGATATCTTAAAGTAGTGGTAAGCTTATTTAGGTCTCATAAAATGTACAGGGAAGGCTGCATATTAAATATATTTGAGCTTTGTATCATACATGGCACATTCAGAAGTCTCCTGGGAATGCTGAATTAAAAAAAAGATAGTTGTATATTTAAATATAGATTGCAGTAATGCAGAACAATAAAATTTGTAAATCTTTTTCCCAGACCACAGCTGAGGCCACTTATATTAGGGGGGGAAAAAAAACCAACTGCTCCTTCTTCCAAACTGTGTTAACTTCTAGTTTCCTTTTTGTACTTATTTTTAATATAGATTAATCTAATTAACTTAATGAAGGCTATACTTCGCAATTAAATCCACAATAAGCAAAAGCCCTACCTGCATAAGTTACTGTGCTGCACATATTTTCCCAAGTAATATCTGAACAGTGTTAAAAGGAAATACAAAGACTACTGATTTAAGATGAATAAGCAGAACTGAATTTGCTTATAAGGCAAGTAGCAGTAAGACCTGTTTATCAAAAAAATTGACTGCATTTTGTTAACTGAAAACAGTTATAATCCATTAATCAAGAACAGGAGAAAAATGGAAGAAAACATATATTTACTTAGCATAACTTGGAGGAAAAGTTGGGGTTTTTTTACACAGTAAATCAGAATGACGAAAAATTATGCTGTAGAGATGGCACTGTGGCATTAAATCAGGAAAAAGCAAAAGAACATTTTAAACTCTTGGCCCTCCAAACAATTAAAACTAGGAACAACAACAACAAGATCAAACTCTGATCCAGTTTAACAGAATTTTTTCTTCTAGTTGGAATTTGGCTCATTATCCATCATCAGCAGGACTGTTAACCAAAATAGCTTTCAGCTGTTTGTCTAAGGTGCATTGACTCTCTACAGGCATAACAGGACTAAAAGCTTACGTTTTTCATTAAACTAAACAAATATGACTGCCTACTCACAGAAAAAACAATCTGCAGAATAAGGGAACTACTTTACTTTGGCATTGCGCAGAAGATATTTGTGTTTAATATCGTTTAAATTTTCATATATAAAGATTGCAATGTTTAAACAAATTCAGCAGAATTATCAATAACTGAAGCCCACTGGAAGCAATGTATAGATTTCAATTTTAAGCAATAGATAGTCTATAGCTTGCAAAGTAATAACAACAGATACTAGTATGCAGATTCTTCAGTTCCTGCACTGCCATTTTTCAGAGAGCAAATCTCTAGAGTACATCTCCACATGATACATTTACCTAAAGTGGCTGCACACATCTAAAGATGGTTTTTGTTTAGTGATTGTCATCATGTTGAGTTTAAATACTGCATCCTGATGCTTATACTCTAATCCCAGAACATTCTGAAATGCGCTAAAGCTTTTTTTCGGAGGGGTGGGGGCCTGGGGGAAGGTGGGGAGGGGGATGCTCACAGGCTTTGCAGATAAAACTGACCACAGTTCACTGGAACCAGCCAGTTCAGATAAATAAGATGAAAGCAGACGTTTTTGAGAATATCTTGAAAGCTTTCCATTAGTCTGTACCAGGGGTATACACTAAAACCAGCAAGTGTCCATGCTTGTGTGGCAACTAATCTTCCATACTTTGGTCTCCACTCTTTTTCTTGAAATACCATATATGTATCTATTTATCCACTTCATTTGAGATCAAGCAAAGACCTTTTGGGAAGAGGATCTATCATACAGTATTGTATTTTACATTGCATTAGAAAGCATCTGGCTAAAACATAAAATTCAGAGAGTAAATGTTCAGACAGGGCCATGTTGCAAGCAATCATAACTTAAGTTACTAAACAAGGCTTTTGGCCTGCAAGTCAATTTTTAAAGTCTACTTAATCTTAGAAAGAGTTTAAAGATATCTGAATGCAATCTCTTCACTGGATGTCTAAATTTAGTCTAAGGAAGCACAGTTATGACATACAGCATGTTTGTATGTAATAAATAAGATGCAAATGCCTCAGGCTGGATTTTCAGATTGGCCATTCCTTTTTGCAGCATCTTTTTAAGTATGAATCTAGATGTCCAACAAAGAGTTCATTCTACTAACATAATATCTTATATTGGATACACAGTGATAATGTATTACTCACATACTTTAAACAAAATGAAGGAGAATGTCATGTAATGGTCTACTAACAGTAATCACATCCTGTTAAAATTCAAGACACCAATAAGAATAGAAACTTGGCCAAAAGCAAAGTAGAATTCACAGATGCCAAAAGGTATTAAGGATATTCTGAAAATGAACCAAAAAATCCACTATTGAATTAACAGGTCATGTTAGCAAAAGTATCTACTGCATGAAATAGAGCTCTATTACTTAAACAAACCTTGTCCCCCAACCCCTCCAAACACATATACACCCCACTCTAGAGACCCTAACAGTTATTTTGATATGTAGCCTTGACATCCCCTTACTCATATTTTTATTTCTCCTGATACCCCACGTTATTTTTACAATAGGAGCCCCCATGATATAATCATATATTTAAGTGGGGGATATAAGCAATTAACTTAAATTGTTGCTAATGCTAGCCCATTGTTTGGCTTTATGAATAACATGGCTACTGTTCAATCGTGGGGCCAGATCATTGCCAGATTACATGCTTGTAAAAGTCCTCTTTCTATCCATGAGGTAAGGGAGGGTTGGTTTCAGCAGCCTCCTAGCCTGGACTACACAGAGTCTTTCCTGGAGTTGTGATGACCAGACAGCTGCTGATGACAAGCACCATACTCCACTAGGTACAAGAGGAATAGAGTGTGAGGCTTTTCATTTTGACTTCACTGGAATAAAGTTAAAATGAGATTTTAATCTCTACTAGGATTCTTATTTCAAGACAAGGCTTCTAGAAAGCAGAAGATGCCCTGACTGTTGATTTCTGACTCTGTAGCAAAGACTGCCTGCCAAATTTTAAATAATCATAAACCTTTAGGACTCACTATTAACACTATAGGTAGTAGGTAACCAAAACCATGTTTTTCCACTTGTGAACAAAATAGTTACTATTTCACTAAACATAAATATACTGCCTGAAAAATGCATAAGATCCATTTCACAAATTACCAATTCAACCATACATGTATATAGTAAAAATGACAAAAGATTTGTTCTTACAGTTGATAAAAAATTTATACTAAGGCATTCAAGTAAAGTTACTTTCTGTGTTCTGATTTAATGAATCATTTGAGCAGTATCTAGCTGGGTGACACAGATGTAGGGCTCGCTGAAGCCTACTCTAATGCCTACTGGTATAGCCTTCCTTGGGACAGTAAAGCCAGAACAATGTGTCAGACTGAAGTAATATCAAAGAAAGTAAGTGCAGTACTGGGGATGCTATGAGGCTGGCCCACAACACTTCTTGACCTGTGAATGTCTGGTAAGTACTTCTCTGTCCTACAGGCTCCAGTGACCCAGCAAGCCCAAAAGAAGAAGCAGCAGTGCGGTAATAAACAGTTTCTGAAATAAGATTTTTGCGATTTTGTAATTCAAGCTGAAAGACATACAAAGATTGCTTGATGGTTTTAACCCCACTGAAAGGCAGGGTCTGACACTCTTTGAAACCACCAGTGATTTCTTAAAAGGTGAACTAATGTTAAATGTTTAATATGAATTTGTAATGGAAAAGTCTGTTTTAAAACACTATAAAGTTTACAGTTTTGTCTTTATTCAACTTTAAACCTGAACATTAAATTAGAAAATGTCAGAGGAGAGGTCACCTAATTTACATGACTATAGTTTTTATTACCTGGAACTTCTCACACACAAATATGTTGAGAAGGAATATATAAAAACAGACTTTATAAGGAAAAAACGATTTAAGAATTCATTTCACCTGATATACAATAAAATTATATAGCAATTTAGGAAATTTAATATAAGAATTTTATATGATGCATATAATCCAAGTATATTAAAATACATTTTGGGGGATAATTAAAAATGCCCTGAAGTTATGCCTGCCAAATATTTTTTTCTGTGTTAAATGGGTATACTTGAATTATCATTCAATATACTAATAAAATACTGTTTTGAGATCCAAGACAACAGTATTTTCTAAAGGTAAACACAGATTCTTCTAGTAGAAAAAAGGGATTTTTTTTAAAAAAGGAAAAAAACCCTATTGAGTAATGGAACATATCTTTTAATATTTTATAAGGCGTTTTCTTGTTTCTTATTTTCCAAAAGAGTCTGTTATTGTACATACACCACCTAATAACAATGCACAAATACTACTTTTTGTGGCTTAGTCAAAAAGATAATTCAAAGCAAAATTAAGGAATAACAATAAAAAGAAGCAAGTATGACTGAAAATCTGTAGGGATGTGTGTTTTAATTTCTCATAATTTCCCAAGTTAATATGTATTATTGCTAATATGTCACAGATGCAAATGTTGAATTGTTCTTTATTTTTAATTTGCGTGAAAAATATATTTATTCTGTGTCTAGCATAGTTTCTAAACTGATTAAAATTCCTCACACAAAAATTACCTCTTTTTTCTTAGGTCACCTCTTCATAAATATTATAGATTAGTTAGGGTAGCTGAATGTTAGAAAGTACTCACGTTGATAACAATACAATGGCAATCAGGGTCCATTCAGGCATTTTGTGAATAATATTTATGTTTGTTAACCTGAAAAATAAATGACAATATGAAATACTTTTATTTTAAATACTAATATTAAATGCATATTTTTGAAATGCATATAGAACTGGAAAATGAAGAGAAGAATGGAGTAGCTAATATCAGCATTTGATTCATTATGAATATTTTTAATAGTACTGTACAATATCTATCTACTGTAAGTTACATAGCCTTCAGCACCATATCAACTAGCTCACAAATACAAAAAAAACCCTTTTCCTCTAACAGCAGCAGAATTCCCACCTACTGCCCAGTCCTCTCAAGTGTCAGTGAACTGAGAGAGAAAAGGTTAATTCAAAGAAATCAGATTTTACATTTAGTTTTCAATGCAGTCAAGTCCAAGCTCATCTCCAGTGGGAAAGCTAAGAAATCTTAATCCAGTTCAAATGGAAGTTTGGCCTCCCACATGCAGTCTCCTTCTGTTGTTTCACATCTAGAATAACTGTCAGAGGTCATGGGTGCAGAAAGATACACAATTTTTCAGAAAGCTAGGGCCATTCTTCTACACACACAGGCTGCTGCGTTAAGTACCAATGGATGCTTTTAAGTGGTTTAGCTTCAATCCTAGATATAATGAAGCCGCAGTAAATCAAGGCCAAAGGTAAAGATCCATGAATTACTATGGTCAGATTTGGGTATAATGGGAGCGTGGGGGCATAATTTTACAGAAGACCACAGGTGGTAGTGAACAGCTCTGTTGCTATTTCAGCATTCTAAGAGCACTGTATACTGATCTTTACAGTGAACAGGATGTTGCCATCCATCGCAGATTTTGTTGAGGTAAGTTCCTAAAAGTGCTTTTTCTCTTGCAACCAGCATCCTTTCCATCTTGCCGGGGTTCAGTTTAAACATTTTCATTTCCACAAAGCACTGGGAGAGCTGACAGATGGCTTGAGTTGAAGGAGATGAGCATGATATGCATAAAATGTTTCAGTTCTTACTGTTTCACAAGCTCTCCCAGTGACTTCATACAGATATTGTATGGAGGACGTGGCCTTGTGGGGCACTACAAGTAAGTACTGTAAGGGGAGAGAAAAAACCACTGGGTGCATCTATGCATGCCATTCAGATGACGTGATAAATTGGTGAGGTTTGTGCTGGAGTTAGCTGCTCCCAGCTGCAGTATCTGCACGGGCACCTGGGACTACAGCAATTTGAACTGGGGCGGAGCAGCCCTGGGCTGGCAGGGGATCTGTGGCAGGTCAACCCCAGGTCAGGTGGTGGCATTGGGTGGTGGAGGGGCTGGCTGAGGCACAAAGGTGCTTCAGTGTGGGGCTAGGTGGCAGGCAGCCCCCACACTTTAACGCACTCATGCTCCAGCCAACTCCAATCAGTCTACACCTGCATTTCAGCACAAGTAATTATTCTGCCATAGCATAGTACTGTCTCAGCCAATACTATCCTACAGCAGAGTTAATTAATTTACTATGTCCTAATACCGGCACATGTGTAGACAGTGACACTTTACTGTGGAGCTAATTAGTCGACTGCTGAAAAGTGCATGTGTAGATGCATTCACTGAAGCTGAAACTGTCCTAAGACATTGCAACAGAAGAAACTATTCCTGATAAGCATTCAAATAAGCTGGTAGAAATGAAATAAAGTAATTATTGTGTTTCACTTATTCAGAGGCATATACAAAGGTGTTTCAGAAAGTAACAGCAATTTCAAAATTAACCCATTCTTTGTGCTATGAATGGAAACTACACAGCAGCAGTGAACACTGACAGTGGCATTGTCAAATGCACCCATCGCTTACAAATGTGTGGAAGTGATATGGTCCAGTACATGATCATTGCAAACAAAATAATTTTATTGCAGAATTGCTCTTACTTTCTGAAACATCCTCACAGGTGTTCTGGATGGGTTGTCAGTTGTAATCTTTATTACGATCACAGACTGTATCATTGGTCCCCTTGAAGTTACTCATTTTCTAGATAACCAGTAAGATTTTCCTCACAGTGCACCAATTAAACATGACTATGAAGCATGGCAGATGTAAAGAGGTAAACACTGCTGTGATAGCAAAAAAATGCTGTGATGAAGTGAACCATATTACCTTTAATTAGAGGTTCACTGATACATCGGTCCGATATTGGATCAGCACCGATATAAAGAAAATTGATCATATCGGAAATCAGCCTGATGTGGCAGATAATTTGGCCAATAAATGCCTGTGCGTGCGTGCAGTTGCACCGCAGCACATAGGCACTGAGGCGATACCTTGGACAGCTGTGTGCAGCTGGTAAGTCTGGTTTGGTGGAAGGGGAGGGGGGAGGGAGGATGCGTGGGGTGCAGATCAAGGCCCCTGGGGTGAGGGAGGAGGGGGGCTGAGGCAAGTGCTGCCCAGCTAGGGTGGGCACAGGATAGAGCCACAGCTCATCCAGAGGGTGCGGGGAGGGGCAGCTCCTGCTGCTGCGCACTGCCTGTCCAGGAACTGCTGATCTGGCACTCATCCAGCAGCTCCCATCGTTGCTCCGGCTGCTCATCTGGGAGGGCATGGTGGGGGGGGTATGTGCCCCCAGATCTGCACAGGGCAGGCAGGCTGAGACTGTGTGGGTCTCTTCCCAGCCTGCCCCATTGTGTGCAGATTGAGGGGCACCCCCCATGCCCTTCCAGATGAGTGGTGGGAGCAGCGGTGGAAGACACTGGACAAGCAGGTGAGCTCCAGATCAGTCATTGGACCAGCGGTGTGCAGTGGTGGGAGCCGCGACTCTGTCCCACACCCGCCCCACCTGGGCAGCACTTGTCCCAGCTGCTGCCCCAGCCCTAGCCCCACTCCTCCCTCACCGCAGGGGCCTTAATCTGCACCCCACCCCCATCCATTCCCTCCCACCACACCACAGATACCAGCTGCACACAGCTCTCCAAGCTGCTAGGTTGGTACTGGAAATCAGATCGGTATCAGCTGATATGCCTCCTTAAAAATCGGTTATCAGTATTGGCCCCAAAAATCTCTATCGTGCACCCCTACTTTAAATCAATTAAATGCGACTACTGTGTCTTTAAGTAGTTTCAACATTACAACTGTTGAACACAGTAAGGACAGGCCCTTTCTGGGCAATAATCTAAAATTAGGGATTTTAAACCCAGGAACACCACAGGTGTGTTCAATGAATAACAAACTATGACAGCTGCTAAGCTGCACATATTACTTCGTATGTCACCAGAACAATATAAACCATATTTTATATAAATCATTTTCCAGTCCAAACAGGTGTATCACAAAGATAGCAACCTTTAAACTAGGGATGTAGTAGTTTTTAATAAAGAAATTTGTGATAAATCTCTTTCTCCCTATCTATATGAAATCTCTTTCTTCCCATCTATATGAAGTCACTGGGAGAGCTCGTGAAAAGAATGGTAACTTTTCCCGCTCTCCACTGTGCACAGTGCAGGATTAGCAAAAACAAAAACAAGCAACAACACAAAATGAAAAAAAACCCTGAAAGATTTAAGCACTTGCTGCTTTGCCAGGAATAAGTTACAGTCTTATTATTTGTCAAACTTAAAAAGAATACAAAATATGAGAATATTGAGTTCATCAATAAAATCTACAATCTCTGCTAGCGTTATTTCAATTGCCCACCTCTCATTCTTTCATTTCATTTACATTTAGCTATAAGTTGAGGAATAAACCTTTACTGTTCACTTTGACAAGAGACTGTTTACTTTTAGCCACCTACAATAGTGGGAGGTAGGGAAATCAGTTTTTTAAAGTAATGATTTAAATAATGCTGTTTTATTTCCTCCTCAGTAACTTTGCAAGATTCTTACAACTAAAACAGAGGTGTAATTATAGTTCAAATAACCAACTTTAGGATCACCATCTACTAAAGCAGTGCATCTCCATCAGTATTTGTTCCTTTCTATGCCTTTAATAAAATTATCATTTTTTAGAAAACAGCTCACTTGTATTGATTACTGTTTTAAATCATGAAAGACAGTCAGGGTTTAGCAACAAAAAGTCAGCATCTGCTAAACTGTAACATTTTTCTACTTGGAAAATAAGACAAAACAAGGTCTGAAGGTCTTGACTCAGTACTGATGACAATGATAAACACTACTAAGAAATGCCTGATGGAATCATGTTGACAGACAATTCATATGTAACATTCCAGTTAATCTGTTATGATGAGACACAATGGAAGAGACAGCTCCAAATCACCAGGGAAAACTGTCAAATGGAGAAAGCAGCTTTATTTCAATGCTCTACAAGGAGCCATTATTGATTAAAGTACTAGAAGGCGTCATTCTTGTACACAAACTGAGAGATGCAGTTATTTGTGTCAATTAACTCTTATTCAGTGTTAGTATTGATTGGCAAGGTCTCAACACTAGTCATTGCCATCAATATGTTATTTATAATGAAGGTAGTCAGGAGACAGATAACCTACTGGATGCAGTAATATAGATCTGTTGATGCACTACTGTGGCGGGATTGGATGAGTAGTCAAGATTCCACAAGCAGTAACCTTTGGTACAACACCTATCCTAGGGAGCTTGTGCATTTAAAAAGCCATTTTAGGTAGATCAGACTAAAGCAAGCAACCTACAAGTGTGAAGCCTTAAATAATAAGAGCAGTGAAAGGGCAGCCACTTTCAAAAACAAGCTGTGTGTCAACACAAGCGTCTCTGAAGAGTAAAGCTTTCAGACAACAGTCAAACGCAAATCCCTTGTAAAAATGGTTCAATAATTTTTTGCTTTGTCTTCTGCCAAAACTGTTATTTGAAAACAATCTGCGACAGTGAATAGAAAGCTAGAGTTCCATCTTGTAAACATATGGGGGGGGGGAATGAAAAACTAGCAGACATGTTTTAAAAATCAAATTTTAGTCCTGTGATTTGAATTTCTGGTGTTCTAATTTTCTGCTAAACAGCATGAGAAAAGAATCTGCAACTTTTTAAACAAGAAACTCAGCAAGTTTTGCTTAGTGCAAGCAGAGCCTAGTGACTAGCTACTGAAAATTGGAGGTTGTCTCCAGACA